TGCAGCCGTCTTGCAGAGAGACCAAAAGAAACAAAATTCCTATAGTTGGGAGGAATTAACTTGCGGGCGGACATAGGGCTGGCTGCTGTTGCCCCTACAATTTTATACTTAAACTCTGCCAATTTCACAAAGCTAACATCTTGTGTCTTTGCATCCTCCAGTGATTATTGGAGTAGGAAATTGGGTTGCCACATCTCTAACTGCTTCTCTCGTCTACATGTATAATTATTACTTAACCCTTTATGAATTCAACGTTACTCTGTTTCAGTTTTATAGAACAGGGAATTTTGATTCATAAACCATGACTTTCTTTCAGCGGTATCCAATTTAATGTTGGTCGGGGGAGACTCGCGCAACCATTTAATCCAGAAATCAACTAATATGTTTTCTTTTTTCCTGGGTCTTTGTTTTTGTGCCCCGGACATATTTCACAGCCGGCGCCCTACGTATGTTTGGGGACTTTCTCGCTGGAGAAGAAAAGGGGAAGGTGTGCGTTGTGGAATTAAAGCCAATAACCGGCATTTAGCATATATGTACTATAATTTTGGAATTATTTTTTAGATTTCTGTACTTTAGGTAAATATTTAAAAAAATGCAATATAAGTGTAAAAAACCCAAACTTCTAATGGATGTAATTATAAAAATTGTTGAGGTACCAATAGTCCAATGAAAATGAGACGGCATATAAGCGGTAAGAATCAAAATCCGACTGCACATTAATATATATAAACAAGAAGTTAGGTTAGTGTTGTCTAATAAATTACAACTTAGTACCTCACTTCTTCTTTAGGTATTAATGTACATTTTAAATTTTGATACTCCAAATTTAATTAAATTACAACTTAGTTATTATAACGTATATTTTATATTTTGATACCCAAATTTAATGTTAATGTAAAATCATTAAATAGTTATTTTTTGGTATCTAAATATTATGAGATTTTCATACTTACATATTTTTTAAATTTAAATATTGATCTAATGTTTAGATTTCACTTGAATCAATAAATCCAATCCACCAATCTTTTTGAATCAATCCATGAATTTAATCAACCATGACATAAAAATATAAATTTTGTTTGTACCATATACGATGTTATCTCACTCAACTGTAGGAGAAGATTCGACCATTTTAAATTTGCTCATTATGTGGAACATTAAATAAATGATAAAAGAGAGATGACTGTAAAATATTGCAAGAGCAAATTTATAAACTCATTTAGTATATTTATGGGGTACTAAACAAACTTCTAGTAACTACATGTAACAAAATATGCGACATCTACATCAGCAAGTGTCAATGAATTGCTACGGTGAAAAGGGGTGACTGTTGTATTGACGGCCAACTAAAAGAATTGGTCAAAACCTCTCCATCATCTACTTCCTCTTCGTTTCATTTTTCATTCGCCTTACATAACATTTGCTTTATTTCTTTCTTTGCCTTTTTCGTCTAACCCTAAATAAAATACTATTTTTATGCATTCTAATCATAAGTATGAACGAGTCCATACACAACTCACCAACAGTCTAGAAAATTAATAATTGAACCATGAACAACTAACTTTTTCAGCTCAATGTCGAGTGCAATTAAAAATAAATAAATACAATTATTACTTATTACATAGTCATCACCTCCCACTATGGGATTTGAAGGCGTGAAATTTTAAGCAAGTTCCAGTTTGTATTTTTTTTTACTTCTTTCCAGAGTTTATTTTTTCACCCGTGATTGAATGTATGGCTAGGTATCTACACATATCAAATAAAAAGTAAATAATTATCATCTTAAATACGTCACCATAAAAGAAATTAAGCCTCAACTATGCAAATTACAATTCGGTAGCTAAACATAATAGATCTTTAGATTTATAACCTAAATATATTTTTTGGCAAGTCCTCAAAATATTGATGGGACATTACATTTTAGTACCTAAAATTTTGTGTATTACATTTTTGTACGTAATCTTTTGAAGTTCTATAAATAGGTCTAATGTTTGTATGTATAATTAAAACACCCTTGAATAAATGAATATTCATACCCAACTCATACACATTTAGATTATGGAAGTAAATATCCATACCCTACCCAAACCCATATATACGTCACTCATACCTACCCATAATCAATGAGTCTACTTGGATTTATGTAAATATCATTTATTTGCCAAAATTTTCAAAAATATTTAAATTGGATGTTTACCACCATATATCTCTCTAGCCAATACTAATTTTAGGCTAATAAAAAATTAATTTTAAGCTAATAATACTAACAAAATACCATAACGGACCACATAATACGTGCTCATAGGTCATCTTCGCCCCGCGACAAGGCGCGACATCGCCACCTAGTTAAATATGTAATGCAACACTTTTTTCTAGGACTGCATAATAGGTAGTTTACATAATACAAATAGTACTGATACTTATGTGGGTATCACTTAAAAAAAAGTTGTTCCGCGATAGGAGTGTGCACGTGGGTGGTTAATCCACGGATTGATATTGATCCACCCGCAAATAACCCGACCCGCACGCAGTGGGTGATTGATGTGGGTGGATTGCGGATTGGTAAATCTCCCACCCACACTTATGTGGGTGGATGGTGGGTGGATTGCGGGTCACCCATATGACCCGCATCCTATTTTTTACATGAAAAATATTGTTTCTTATAGTATCGAATATTCATCATATTTTCGAACTGCGCTACAGTCTGACAATATGCTTCAAAAGGTGAAGAATAAATAATAGTTTTGACTACTTTTATTGGTCATTGTGTTGTGCAATATCCATTACATATTGGGTATTGGTATGCATATTATTGTTAATAATTATTAAATATTGGGATGCAAACTATAAATTATTAATTGTATCAAAATCACAAATTATTGATACAGTCTTACTAATTTTGCTATGAACTTGTTATAAATGTTAGTCAACTTTCTTAATGGTTAGTTGGAGAATTGTTTTTGCGGGTTGACCCGCGACCCAACCGCACCCATCCGCCACCCACCCAACCTAACCCGCAGAAGTATGTGGGTGGATTGCGGGGTCAAAATTATTTCAACCCGCTTGTAAGCGGGTGGGCCAATTCGAGACCAAAATCCACCCAACCCGCCCATTTCCCACCCCTATTCTGCGATGCTCTCTCCTCTCTCTGGAGCTTCTGTATCCTGGCTGGTCGGTGCTTACTTATGGCGGTGCTTGCACTCTTTGACACTAGCCTGCATAATCAAGGCGCCGATGGCTATAGATGATACACCACGTGGGTTCGTTTGCAAGAAGAATTCATTACCATCTCGACCGAGTGAGTTTTGTTATGCAATGCACTTTCGTCTTTATTTATAGTAATATTTTGTTTAAACTTGCTCATTTCTTTTGTATCTCTACAGCAGATGAATTTCTTGTTTTTTGTTTAAACAAAGCTGAAAGTGAAGAAGTACCAATTGAAGTTCACTTGTTTGTTTCACAAAATCAATTCCAAGCTACTTGTGAGTTCTAATTTGTAATATTTGATGAATGGAAGTCTTGAATTGTATGTACTGATCTTATTTGTTTGACGTTGTAACCGGTGTGCGTGAAACTATTTTTATGTAATTTTATGAATTTAGAGTATTGCGTTGTTGACTTTTTGTTTCATTTAGAGTTGACTTTTCTATTATATGTGTGATTTTTTTATGATATGACAAAGACACTCTCTTGGCCAATTTTCTGGCTCTGTAACTGAGTAGTGGGTGTCTAAGACAAGTACCTCGACTTGCCCACACTGATATCCAAGTCAAAAATGGACACCTTCCGTTTCTTGGAGGCAAAGCTGCTTAGCTGACTTCAGGGATGGAAGCAACGGACTTTGTCCTAGGCGGCTAAAGAGACTCTGATCAAATCCGCTGCCTTAGCTCTACCACTGTATGTCATGTCTTGCTTTAAGATTCCTCTCTCTCTTTGTCGACTTCTTGACAACCATGTAGCCTGATTTTGGTGGGGCGTGGAAGGGGATCATTCCCGGATTAGATGGATTTCCTGGCATAATATGTGCAAAAGCAAACATGATGGTGGGATGGAATTTCATCGGTTTGAACATTTCAATCAGGCCCTTTTGGCTAAGATTTGATGGCAAATTCTTTCTAATCCTCAGTCACTCTTGGCATAAGTCTATAAGGGGAAGTATTTTCCAATTGGGACTTTCCTCACTGCTTCTGCTCGATCAAGTCCATCGTGGGGATGGCAGAGTGTTTTCTACTGTCGACAGTTGCTGGTCACGGGCCTTTGTTGGCAGATTGGTAATGGTTGATCGATTTCTTTGCTTCACTCTAGTTGGATTACTCGCCTACATCCCACTTTCTCTGTCTATAATCCTCACGTGCTCCTAGATGGGGAAGGCCAAAAGGTGGCTGAGATAATTTCCCCAGGGTGTGGACAGTGGTGTGAGTTGCGGCTGAGTCGTTTGACCCAGCGACTTGTCAGGCAATCATAACTATTCCTCTCCCTCGTGACGATGCAGGATGATCTAGCATGACACAAGAGACGAGATTGTTACTGTTTAGTCAACCTATCATCTGGCAGTTTTACTCGACAAGCAGGGTGGTCGATGGCGATCTCTGGCTAGTTGGATGGATCAATTTAGTTGGTTCTGTTTGTGATCGTACTTCGCCTAAGTTAAAGGTGTTTCTGTGACAGCTTTTCCATATGATCCTTCCAACGATAGAAGCCCTTATTGAAAAAAAGGTTCAGGTGCTCCCTAGATGTCCCGTCTGCTGGGCTGACTCGGAAGCGATGGAGCATTCATTTCTTGAGTGTCTAGTAGCTCGAGCTTTATGCGATCATTCTGGACTGAAATACTTAGGTCAGGGGTTGCCTCGACATACTTTTCCACTATTCCTTAAGAAGCGGATGTTGTTGATAAATCAGCTCCAATTGCTGATGGCGATTGTAGCGATCCTTTGGAGAATTTGGAAATCCCGGAATCGTGTTGTCTTTGAAGGCAAACAATATGAGATTTCAATTCTAATGCGTCAATTCCAACCTGCGGTTGTTAGTCCCTCAAACAAGGGAGGCCAGGCTTCCTAATACCATAGTATGCATGTGGGATGAGGATACTAGGAGTGAGTCCCACTATGCGGGGGGAGGGGAGGATGATTAGAAGTTACAAATACATATTAGTTAAAATTTTCTTTTCCACCTCTCATTTCCACAGTTCTTCGGCCATCACTCCGCCTTCTTCTTCTCAATTATTTTCTTGTCTCCGTTCAGCCGAACTAATACTAGTGCAAAAAGAAAACAAGAAATCAATACCAAAACATAAAAAGTGCCCGCACAAAAACACTACCACAACATACACAGAAAGAGGAGGGGGAAACGACGACCAAATCAACACCACTAGAACTTATTAACCAATACCATTGCATACCTGATCAATATATGAAGATAAATACCAATACGATAATATCAATACAAAAAACAATAACATTACATGATAATCAATAAAGATGCAAAAAAATACCACTAAAAAAAACCAATATCAATATGAAAAAATCAGATCTCCTGGGTTGCGAAACTCTCACCGCTCCGCTTCAGATGAGGTCAATTGGTTCCGATGGCGTGATGAAGAGGGAGGGAGTGGCATGCGGTGGTCGAAGTTCATCGCAACAGGCAGTGGTCGGGTACAGTGGCAACCTGAATGGGAGGGGGCGGCTGCCAGGGAAGAAGAGTCGGTGGTAGTGGCAACAGAGAGAGGAGGAGGAGAAGAAGGGGGAGGGGTCAGCCGCCAAGGACGAAGAGACAGGGAGAGAGGAGGAGGAGAAGAAGGATACGGAGGGATAGGAGAGACATATGATATGAAAGTGATAAACTAGGGTAATAATCACAATCATATGTATTTTTTTTGTTTCAAAACTACCCTTTTCAAACTTGACTGTCCATTTAAAAAAAGAGAAAAAATGAACAATATAGAGTTCGATAACCAACATGACTAAAAAAAATAGTAACCATGTTAATGCATTCCGTCTTGTATGTTGAAGTTTTCCGTTATCATCTCTTATGATCTCTTTAGCAGTGAACTTTAGTGAACTTAAGATTATTATTATCTTAGATGTTTTCATCTTAATAAAGAACGAATAACATAATACAAAAATTGATAAAAATTATCAATCAACTTTAGCAAACAAACACATACAGTAATTCAGTAACCCATCATTTGAGTAGCCACCTAATTGCAAACCAAATAAAAATAAGGTAAAAACATAAATGAGCGGCCAATAAGTAAATCCGATTTAGCGTCACAGGTAACCACAATTTTATGAAACATCACACATAGTTCCTAGAACCTCCATTGGATCTGCTGCACAATGCTCTTGTCCACTTGGAATGCCTTTGCAAGAATGTCAGCAGAAATGTCTGGCTTTGACCCAAAGATGGAGTTGGCTATTGTGATAACTCCTGGGTTTTGGCTGCTTAGTGCAGCAATGGCCACAACATTACCATTTCCAACGTTGCGTTGGTAGTGAATCAACCCGATTGGGAAGACAAATACATCACCCTTTTGGAGAATCTTTGAGATAAGGCGATTATCAGGGTTTGATGTGACGAATCCTACTTCCAGAGAGCCTTCAATGACAGTGAGAATCTCGGTAGCTCTTGGATGAGTGTGCGGAGGATTGATACCCCATGGCGCTAAGTCAATACGCACCATTGAGATGCCTAAGGTATTGAGACCAGGAATCTGAGTCACAGTGGCAGCTGTGACGGCAGAACCAATAGCATTACGGGTATTTCCGGGAATGTGCAACCCGGTGAAAGAGAAATCCTTGGCTTGGACTGTCGCAGGATTCTTGCAAGCAAATCCGTTCATTTTCACTGCAAAGGAAATGAATCTCAAATTCCATCAAACAGTTTACAGAAGTATGATAGTTAAACTAGAATTATTGTTAGTAAGATAAATATGCATACCTTGATTGTTTCTATCTGCGACACAGAAATCCTGAAGAGATGCAGGGTCAGAGGCAAATGTGAGATGGCAGAACGTGAGAGCCAACAATAGGCTCAACTGAAGGAGAGTTTGCATTTTTCCCATCCCAAATGGACGAACGTATCGAGAGAGATAAACTGTCAGAAATAATTGTCACAAATAATCAAGAAGAAGCTTGTAGATTGAGTGATGTCCTGCAATGCCCGTGGAAGGGTGTTTAAATAGAACCTGGCTATGTTATTATATGTGACAAGGCTTGAGGAATTCTTTGTAGCTGGCACTGACTTATAATATAGTAATCTACGAGGTTAGCCGTCCATCGGCGGTTAATTGAAATCGAAATATTCTAGTGGTAAGTTGCCGACGATATGTAAAACGGCACATGCAACGTTTATCCAATTCCATGTCCGGCTTCTCTTACAGAAGGAAAAAGACAATGAAGTTGCATGGAAGTTGGAACCATCACATGTTTAGAGAAAACAACAAAAAAACCTTCGCATGGTAATCAACGTTGAGGATTCACTAAACTGGTCATATTGCTTTCTTTAACATGGAAGTCCCGTATGCATTCGATAAAATTGATGAAACAAAATTAATTAGTGGAAAATACGGGTGCTTCGGCAGGCAAGTGACACAGCCGGCACATTAGCTTGCCCATTTCACAAGTTTGGATATTTAGTTTGTCCAAGTCCAACGATATAAGGAACCCGGGTGGTGATAGCAATGTGCGGACGATATCTCAATACCCATATATTCCTCAATATTAAGAGTAGGTTGAATAATATTTGTATGGTATGGGGATGGGTGGCTCAACCTATTCTTATATATTATTGGTAAAAAGAACGTTGATATCTAACTTTTTACAATAAGAGCGAGAAAGTATACTTCATATATGAATGATAAATATAGTATAACGAATAATTGAGTAAAAACTAATTGAAATATACCGTCTAAAAATTTATTTGCGATTAAATTTCAAAATGACGATTTCAAATTAGATTTCAGAATATATTCTTTTTTTCAAGGGTAAAGTTGTAACGTATATTTTTAGTAAGAAAATTTTCTATTTAAATAATTTGAAATTTTTTAGAATGAATATTGATTTGTACTCGAATTTGAAATAAATTTGTAAAAATATATTTAATTATTTATTCAGACTTACGAAGCCGTCGCCTAGACTTGTCGGAATCTCCCAATCCCTCCTATCATCCTCCGAGAGTCCGAGTCACAACTCACAACCCATGACCCTGTCCATTCCTCCTGATGCTATTCTTGTGCATTTATTTGAACTCAGTGGGGATAGGGTGTTCAAATTAGGGGCGGAGCTAGGATTTAATGTTCGGGGGGTCCAAAAATTATTTAATGCTGTTACCGCATAAAGTTTATAAAAATTAAAAACTAAGAAAGACAATCAAAGTAAATTTTACTTTTAATATTATTATGATTAATCATTTTAGATGATTAGAGTCAAAATATTGATGTAGAATAACTTATGAAAGGTCAAAATGGATAATTTTTCAGTGATATAAAATCGCAAAGTGGTAAAAAAAACTAAACTCGAAATAATTAAATCAGTCATCGGAATGGAAAACTATGTATAGTAGCTCGCATCCCGCTTATAGTAATACTAGCTTTTTGCCCACGCTTCGCAGCGGCAAGGAACTATATCTAAAATTTTATTAACTTATTTGACGATTTATTTGAAATCAAAGAATTTTAAAAAATATCATGTTAGATACCTCCATAATTTTTATGTGGTACTGTCTTAATCATTGTGAAATAGTTACTCCATATGTTTGTTTAATTGATAAATAATGAATAATTATTCCTTCATAAGCTTACGTAATGTCTTAATCATTATAGAAGACTTCGGTACGTTTGTTTAATTAATACATAAGATATAACTATCTTTCCATAACTTTTACAAAATGTATTTGCAATATGCAATTCCATAGTATCTTAATAAAAAAAAAAAGTAAAATTCTATATCACTCTTATAAAAACTGTATTTGCAATTTGCGTAACTGTTCTAGATAGATGTTAAGTAAATCTTCAGTAATGTAGGGTCTAATAATAAAATAAAGTTATAGAAGTATCATATTGATAATGTAGAATATCAATAAAAGAGTTGGATGAAAATCTCTCTTCCTTCTCTCTCTTCCTATTTTCTCTGAACGCATCGCTAGGGTTTCCGATGGCGGCCGTCACCGGCGGAGCCACTTCAGGGGCCGTCGGTGACGGATGCACCTGGGCTTCTCTTTTCACCGTCAGTCTTCATTTCAAGCTCGACTACTATGAGACGGAGTTTGTGAATGGGTCTCTTCGGATACCTAAGTCGGTGATCGATGAGGGTGAAAAGCGATGGGTTAACAGCTTGGTAGGGCAATTCATGGATCGGCCGGCTTCCCTTTCTTCAATTCACTTTTGGGCAAACTGGATTTGGGGTTGAGACAGGATGGTGCGAGTGTCGCGGTTAGGGGAGCGCTTGGTGCTGTTTCAATTTTCCAATGCTGAAGTTTGCCGCTGGGTCTTTGAAGGCGGTCCATGGCATCATCGTGAGAACATGGTCCTGCTTAGGAAACGGGAACTAGGTATCCAGCCCCTAGCCATAGATAACTCTGCCGTTCCGGTGTGGGTGGGTGCGTCTGTCAAACTTGCCATATGAGTTAACGTCTAACGAGTGATTAGGGCGTCTTGCTAGCTCTTTAGGGCGGCCTCTTTGTATGGATTTTCCAACAAAGCAGGGGACAAAGTATGGTGTTGCTAAGGTGTGTGTTGAGATCACTACCAAAACGAATCTGATTAACAAGCTGAGCATCACTCCTGATGGGCGTCCTGAGATGTTGGTGGATGTGGATTTCTGTCATGTGCCTCGGAAGTGTGAGAAGTGTGGTGTATTTAGGCATGACTATGCGAATCCAGGAGGTCAGGTGAAGTGTGTATGGGTGGTTAAACATCCACAAGTGCAAAAAGTGATATCAGTGGGCTCGAAGGATAAGGAAAAAAGTTGAAGAGGTGATTGAAGTACAGGCTGAATCTAGTGTGCAAGGCATGGTGGTTCAGGTCACTGAGTCTGTGATTAGTGGTGAGCTTGCAGTGTCAGTCAATGAAGAAAGTAGTATTGTTCCAGAACCTGAGGATGATGGATTTAAGGTAGTTAGAGGGAGGAAGCACAGGGTTCGGGCTCCTGATCCTGCATCTGTTGCAAAAAGTCTGTGGAACCTATTTTCTAGTCAAAAGAAGGTGTAGTTGGAGGACAAAGCTTTCCCTTCATTGAGTAAGCCAGTTTGGAGAACGAGTGCTGAGCCGCCGCAGCCTGCTAAAGGTAGGGGGCGGGGCAAGAAGAAGAAATGAAGATATTCTGCTGGAACATTAGGGGCTTTAATGCTCCTGAGAAGCACTCTGCAGTGCTTAAAAAGATACGTATACTTAAACTTGATATTTTAGCAATTATAGAAACTAGAGTAAGAGTAGAGAATAGTGTGGATATAGTTAGTCAAAGGTTTGGTTATTTGCATCATATGAATAACTACCCCAAGTCCCCCAATGGTAGAGTATGGTTGTTTTGGAAAGATGACATCTCTGTTACTAAGTTGGAGGATGGCCTGCATTACTTAAAAGTTCTTGTTGGAGGGGCAATACCACTGGTTCTTATGATTGTGTACAGCCCAAACAAGGAGGCTAACAGAGTTTTATATAGAGATTTGATTGCACAGAATGAACGATTGACACCTATGGCAGTATTGGGCGATTTTAATGCTGTTAGAGGTCCTGCCGAGACCTCTAATCTTGTGTCCTTGAATGCTAGCATGGAGGACTTCCATAATTGGATAGAGGAGATGAGCTTGGTGGATCATAAGATGGCAGGAAGCTGGTTTACATGGTGGAATAAACATAAAGAAAATCTGATTGAAAAGCGACTTGATAGGGTTTTGGTGAATGAAGCTTGGCTTAGTAAGTTTCCAGCTAGTGTAGCACAAACTACTCTCCCTGGAGTCTCTGACCATTGTGGGCTCTTACTTACTCCAACTCCCCATATTGACAGCTTGCCTAAGCCATTTAAGTATTTCAAATTTTGGGTGAGCCATCCTACTTATATGCAGTTGGTCAATGATGCTTGGAATGTGGAAGTGGAAGGTTGGCCTTATTATATTTTCTATGGGAAACTCAGGAAAGTCAAGAAGCGGTTGAGGCAGCTCAATAGAGAGGTGTATTCAGACATCTCTGCACAAGCCAGGGATATAGAAGAAAAGTTAGAAGTGTTGCAAGCAGAGTTGATGCAGAATCCCACTGAATCACTTGTTGAAGAGGAGGGAGATTTGGCTAAGCAATGTCTTGAGCTCAAGAGGGAAGAAGAGAGCTTTTATAAGCAGAAAGCTAGAGTACAAAGTGTGCAAGAAGGGGACCTCAATACAGCTTATTTCCATAAAACTGTGAAAGTGCATAATCATAGGCAGCAGATATCAAGGATTCTGGATGAGCAGGGGAAAGAAATAACGGATATCAAGGGAATAGGAAGAGTTGATGTGAAATTTTATTCTGAGCAGATTGGGAAAGTAAACTCGAATGTGCTGCTCCAGCCTACTAGTTTTTATCATCATTTGCAGCTGAAATGTCTTTCTCCAGAAGTGGCTGATACAATGGTTCTCCATGCGACAAGGAAGGAGATCAGGGATGTTTTTTTCAGTCTGGGGAGGGATAAGGCGCCTGGCCCTGATGGTTTCCCTTCTGAGTTTTTCAGGCTTCACTGGGGTTTAATTGGCACCTTAGTTGAGGATGTTGCCCTTCATTTTTTCAACACAGGGGTTATGCCTAGGGCAGTAAACTCTACTCTTTTCACTCTGGTGGCCAAAGTTACTAATGCTGAGAAAATGAAGGACTTTCGTCCAATCTCCTGCTGCAATACCTTATATAAAGGAATCTCCAAGGTGCTAGCAAATAGGTTAGCTGCTGTACTCCCTCTGCTTATTTCTCCATCACAATCTGCTTTTGTAAAAGGGCGCTCTATTAGTGATAATATTCTTCTAGCAGCTGAACTAGTAAAAGATTATCATAGGAAGAATGTTACTCCTCAGTGTACGATAAAAATTGACATC